AATACCCGGTCGAAGCCGCACAATCGGCGTTCGCTCTCTGGAAATAAGATTTCACTGGCGATTCCGAACTTATCTCGGCGCTTTTGCGCAATTAATACCTTTCGATACCGCGTGCAGGGTATTCTCGTGGATTCTCGATTCGTCTCGTATACGTGCGAAGGGGCGATCAACGCCACACCGGGAGGGGAAAAGATTAGGGAATCGAGAACGCGGGAATGCACAACAGCGAGTCGGCCACACGCAACGCTTTCCGCAAGGCCACGTGCGCCGCGCGGCCACGTTGTTTAGGCGTTGAACGTCGGGCACAGCCCAAACAAATTCACGGACGAGGTCAGGAACGACGCGGTTTTACTCAGGCTTAAAAATGCTCGCCCTCTGCATCTGTGGATCACGTTCGCTCATTGGACGTTCGCGCGGCGTATACTTTTCAACGCGTCATTTGTCGAAGTAAATTTAAAATGTATTAAAAGTAAGAGGAGCCGGGAAAAATGTATTATCTAAAAGTAAGACACTATAGCTTTAATACATGTTATTTAGAGAAAAGAGTGAATATATATAATAAGATTAAAGAGAAAATTAGAGTAAGGAAACGAAGAGTATAAAAGGCCCCGGGTTCTGCATATAAAAGTTTTAAATATTGTAATATTGTAATGATCTGATAATGTAAACAAGGCAAAGGAAGTAAAAAAATTAGTTAAAGGTCTTGTTGGATAAGTCATATAATAGAAAAAGTCAATTTTAAGAGAATTTACACTGAGAAAAAAAATTTGTTTCATTTTACGAAAATATTTAGTCCGATACGTTCGACTAAACGTTACTACGAAGACACAAAATAATTTGTTACTATTATAAACAAAATATTATTTTTTAACTAAACTATTTTATTTCAACAAAAATTTATTATATTCAACTCAACCGTTCTATTAAAAATACATACTATTTAGTATTTATTATTCCTATCAGTCGTTTAGTCAGCTCGATACTTGGAATTTAAACAAATATATGACTTGGATAACTAAATATCATACAAACACAAATAAATACTATTAGTATTTCGAACAAAATAAATTAATTGAGTTGATTTAGTTAATTTTTAATTAAAAAATTTTGATAGTTGACATGAATGAATTATACCTTTCTTTGTGCAACTAAAGAAATGTTGAATTAACTATTTGATCAAACAACTATATAAATTTAGTCCGTACAATCAATTTTTTTTCTTAGTGTAGGTATATTAGTTGCTAGATTTTAGCTATTTATTTATAAGGAATAAATGAATGGGTGTGTGTGTGTGTGTGTGTGTGTGTGTGTGTGTGTGTGTGTGTGTGTGCG